TTTATTTGACCTGTAGTTGAGCAGCGTAAACAGCCTACTTTAAGAGGCCATCCTACTGCAGTTGTACAGTACAACTCTTGGAAAGGTGGGGGTCTTATTGCTGTGGGTTATGAAGCTCGTAAATATGGGGTCAAACGGTAAATGTCAAAATTTCACCTTAATGACAAGAGTTATCCATTTGTTGGACTCTTCAATGTTGAATCTTTCTGTGTCGTTTAAGCTCAATGCGAGGTCATGAAGCAAAAGAAGTCTGCCCTGATATTCAGCTCGTGCAAGTTCCCGTGGCTCGTGGTAAAGCAGATTTGAGTATTTACCGTAATGCTGGCTCAGAGGTCCAATTCATAAATACTTTGTGGGCCCTCTTTTTCATTCACGTACATTTTCTAAAACTGGTTTATGCATCTGCAGGTCGTATCTATCCTCTCCTGCAAGGGTCGATGTGAGCGTGCTTCTATAGATGAAGTGTATTTGGATCTTACTCAAGCTTCAGAAACATTGTTAGCAGAAAATCCTCTAGAGAGATTGGACGGAATTAGTGAAGAAGCTCTTAAATCTCATGTGTTGGGTCTTGATTTGGTAGGAGGATTTGTATATTTTTTTTGTGATCACCAAGCAACAGCATTTTTCGTCGTTTATAATTCATATGCGGGTCTGTTTTTTGTAATCTTTAGTCATGCACTTCAGTAAGAGCTTGTAACAAATAAATTGTCAATGTGTACAACAGGATGGTGCCAACTCTCAAGAATGTGTGAGGGAATGGTTCCTTAGGAGTAATGCTAGTCATCGTGATAGATTGCTGGTCTGTGGAGCCCTTATTGTAGCAGAACTTAGACTTGAGGTTTTGAAAGAGACTGAATTCACATGTTCAGCTGGCATCGCTCACAACAAGGTCAGAAATAGCATTCACAATTTCGTATTTGCGTATATATTTCTTGTCAATTTATACTTCGTCGTGTGAAAGGGTTCTGATGGATAATTGTGACGTAACAGATGCTGGCAAAATTAGCTAGTGGTATGAATAAGCCTGCTCAACAAACCATTGTTCCCTCTTCATCAGTTAAGAAATTGCTCGAGACTCTTCCCGTAAAGAAAATGTAAGTAAATTTTCTTTTGGATATCGTCAAATTTAAATGATTTTTCTCTTGACTGTTATGTTATCATTGTTGCGGTTTTATGTTGAATGACATAAGCTGCTTGTCTAACATTCAATTTCATTATTTCAAGTAATTAAAGTATAATATTTGATACAGGAAACAGCTTGGGGGTAAGCTGGGAACCTCCTTGCAAACTGAACTATCAGTGAACACTGTTGGGGATCTCTTGAAGTTTTCAAAGGAGAAGTTGCAAGAGCGCTATGGCGTAAATACTGGGTTTGTTTTTATTTACACTGTTGTAGTACTCCGTTGTTTCTTCTACATATAAGAATATGTTTTTATATTTTTTTTATTCACAATTTTTTGATTTGATTTATTTAACTTTGATGCAGTACTTGGCTATGGAACACTGCTAGGGGAATCTGTGGGGAAGAGGTTGAGGGTCGCCTTCTTCCGAAGAGTCATGGTTCTGGGAAGACATTTCCTGGACCTCAAGCTCTGAAAACCATCTCTTGTGTATGCATTTTTGTAGCAGATGATCATGGATTAGTGATGTTTCATCTTTTTAGTTCGCGAAATAATTAATGCACTTTACACTTCGTTAAACTAGTAGTTGGCGGTCGTAAATTGGTTCCCTTCATTATTGATGCCTCAAATGCAGGTTCGGAAGTGGCTTTATGACCTTTGTGAAGAACTGAACGAACGCCTTCTTAATGATCTTGAACAGAATAAACGCATTGCTCGCACTCTCACTCTGCATGCAAATGCTTACAAGGTCTTTCGTTGTTTGATTTGGAGTTTTCTTTCCAACGTAGCCCTCGAAAGCTCTTATTTTTCGATTTAAGGAAACTGAAAGCTCTTTGTTTTATCCCTTCCTCCCGCTATTTATATCATCTCTGTGTGAAGAACTTTAATGGAGTTGCAAGGATACATTTCATATTATTTCATGTTAATTTATACTTATCCTCCAGTTGAATGATTCGGAGTCACTTAAGAAGTTTCCTTCGAAGTCTTGTCCCTTAAGATATGGGATCACCAAGATTCAGAAAGATGCTTTCAGTCTATTTCATGCTGGATTGCGGGAATTTACTGGGGTATATCACGTTAGAACAAAGGAGGGCAAGCAGCATGACTGGGCAATAACTGGTCTCTCCATCTCAGCCAGCAAAATAGATGTGATTCCATCTGTGAGTCAAAGTGGCTGTCTTTTGCAGTTTTGCTGATGTATCTTCTAATTAACTGTTTTTATACTCA